CACAGTATTAGCAGCAGTACGAAAAAGAAATTTTCTGATTGATTCTCAAGGCAATTTTGGCATCCAGATAAACAGACAAGCTTTCAAAATCAAACTGCTAGTTAACGAATGTTTCCAAACACACTGTCAGAGGGACTTATTAAAAACACAGTTTTCCTTCTTAACAAAAACTTCCTAAAAATGTTTTCACTCATCCAGGAAGTCCGTGGAATCATAATCACTTGTCTCCATTAATTGGCAAAAAAGCACAAAATCTGAAGTACCATGTTTCACAGAAGATAATAAAAGTTCTGAATTTTTCGCAGCAGTATATGGTTTTTATAGTTATTTTCAGTCATTTTTGCATAAATTAAGCAAGGAAAACGCAATACGGCGAAATTATATATTTATGTATAGTAAGCGCACTTTTTATGCAATGAATACATAAGTAGGCTGCGGCAAAATCAGGTACAGTTTAAATATCTGTCTTCGTTAAAAAACAATAAGTTGGTTAACTGCATGAATGGCTGTTGATTTACATTTGACTTAGTGTAAATCTCCGTAAATTTTGCATGAAATTTGACCAGTCGTTCACTGAAGATGACCTAGCTGTACAGTGAGCAATTCTCCCGTCAAAAAATTTTACGTGTCTGCACGTGAAGCATATGCGCTCTCTTATAAAATCTCAAAGATTACTTTTGGTTTAGCTGACGGAAATGAGAACTAGTACCACAATTATGCAATATTTTCCCACCACCCGTAGCACTACATCTGTACCTCCGTCAGTAATACACTTTTTTCCAAACACAAGTTGCCACTACCATGCCTTTTCTGCGCTTGAACAGACGAAACTTATTCCCTCACTGAGCACGCTTGCAGCAGCTGATGTTTTCGCCTTTTTCATTTCATCCTAAAGCGTCGGCGTCTTTTTCCTCTCCACTCCCTCGTCTTATTGTCTGGATCGCCAGTGATATAAAAACAGCGCATCATTGCCCACGGTCGAGTCTGGCGGTCATTGTTGATTGCCGAATTATTTGAATATTCCAGTAAACGTGCTACAGTTTGACGGGGCCATTCTAAATAAATACGTTTCTCCACAGGATGACTAAATCAAATAATTGGCCAACGCAGGGGCTGCCCGTGCGAAGATGCGTTTTTTGCACAGCTCCCCGCAAATTTTTGTCGCTAACGACAGATGCTTCTAGCTAAAAGAATTTCAGACTGGCCGCCAGGACTGTCAGAAAACATCCCTTTAAAATTCCAGTCTTCTAGCTTCTCACGTTCCCGAGTTAGCAACTTACTCGAAAGAAACCTTCACGAGCCCGTACGCAGGTACCACGCTTACCCGCGGGCAGGGTTTGAGCCCGCTAATACCCGCTTGTACGGGGAACATCCCCTTAAGATTTCAGCTTTCTAGCTTCTCAGATCCCCGAGTTATCAGCTTGTCTGAAAAAAATTTTGGCAGAGCTGTACGCAGGTACCACGCTTACCCAGTGGCTAGGTATGAGCTCATTGATACCGCTTAGACATCACCCTAAGATTTCAGCCTTCTAGCTTCTTAGATCCCCGAGTTATGAACTTACCCGAAAAAAACTTTGGCGGGC